TCGTGCATGGGCGATTTGCAAGCAGCAGAAGTGCTGGCTCAGCCCTGGCAGGAGGGGGAGGCAGCCCAAGCATGCTGGGCGGGAAGGGGCTGCAAACTCCGCGAGGGAGTGGCCCGGCAGGCCACTGCACGGTGGCTGCAGAATGTCGATGCCGGGAGCCAGGGGGACTGCCTGGCACCGGGAAGCCAACCGCCCTGCCCCACGGGGTGTGCAGAACCCGTAGCTGCCCCCGGCTCTGCCCGGCCTAGGTGAAAGCTGAAGCTGGGGGTGCAGAGCGATGGAGCCTCCATCCCAGCTCTGCCACTTCCTGGCTGTGTAACCCTGGAAAGAGGGACTGCACTACTCTGTGCCTTGTTGTTGTTATTTGTTTGTTTGTTTGTTTGTTTGTTTTACAGAGAGGAAGAGAGAGGGATAGAGAGTTAGAAACATCAATGAGAGAGAATCGTCGACCAGCTGCCTCCTGCACACCCCCTTTCTGGGGATGTGCCTGCAACCAAGGTACATGCCCCTGTCTGGAATCGAACCTGGGACCCTTCAGTCCACAGGCCGACGTTCTATTCACTGAGCCAAACCGGTTTCGGCTGTGCCTCACTTTCCGCCTGTGCAAAACGGGGCCACCTCTGGGTGGTTAGAGGGGTTCAGGGGGATGATGCAGGCAGCGCAGTGTGTGCCAGCTCTCCTGGCCGCCATGCCAGAGCTCCTCCTCTGTGCTGGGTGCCGCAGGATCCGTCTCACCGTCTAACCCTCCCATTACACAGATGAGAAAACTCGGGCTCGGGGTGGGGGAACCAGAGCGAGGACACGCACCGCTGTGCCTCCCGCGACGCCAGGAAAGGCTCTCCCCGTCTGATCGAGGTGGAAAATAGGTTTCCAACTGATTGGTTCTGCGGCAGAGGCGCCCGCTGGAGGATGCTGTGATGGATTAGCCATGTCTGCACGGATGAGGGCATGGCGACCAGCGGCATAACCAGCACAAATCTGCCTAAATAACGGAGACTGAACCTGATTTTCGCTGGAAACAATGTCCTCTGGAAGCATTATGTCCTATCGGAAGGCTTGGTGCCGTGTCTCACCGAATCTACCCCTAGCAGAGTGTGCTCGGACACACAGGGCCCTGTTCACCTCTGGGCACAGAAGCTGAGAGGGAAGCCGCACTGAGGCGCTTTTTCTGGTCTGCACGGCTCCATTTTCACCTGGTGCTTATGCAGCTGCTCTGGCCTTCGTTGCCATCCTGGGAAGGGGGTTGATCACCCTTGCTTGTCAATTGGGGAAACGAGGGCTCAGAGCGATTAACAAACTGGCCCGCCCTGGTCAGTTTTTCTCAGTGGTTAGACACATGTGTCAAACACAAGGCCCGCGGGCCAAATCCGTCCCGCCAGGCCTTGCAATGTGGCCCGCACCGCGCTGTCATCACTGCACTCCGCTGCGTTTCCATCACAATGACAGTTTATGACTGTTCAGTAAACCATTCGGCCCGCGATTTAGGCTGGATTTTAGATTTTGGCCCCTTCTCTGATTGAGTTCGACACCCCTAGGTTAGAGTCAGCGCTTGGACTGCAGGGTCACGGGTTCGATTCCGGTCAAGGGCATGTACCTCAGTTGCAGGCTGAATCCCCAGCCCCGGTTCGGGTGCATGTGGGAGGTAACCCATCGATGTGTCTCTCTCACATTGATGTTTCTCTCTCTCTCTCTCTCTCTCTCTCTCTCTCTCTCTCTCTCTCTCTCTCTCTCTCTCTCTTTATTCCCACCCCCTTCCCTTCCACTCTCTCTGGAAATCAATGGGGGAAATTATCCTCGGGTGAGGATCAACAAAACAGAAACAAAAAGAGAAACGGGCCCATGGTCACACAGCAAATCGGAGGCAGAACCAGCCCCTGGGGTCTGCCTGACTCAAGTCCACACAGCAAACCGCTCCCCCCGGAGACCAACAGCGCAGCCAAGCCTCCGACATCTCAGACCAGAGGCCCCCCAGCTGCTGCCCCCGCTGCCGACGACGCAGCACTCTGCGGCCATGTGGGTGAGCGTGCCTCTCCCCGCGGCAGCCCAGGGCTCTCAGTGAGTCAGGTGGTGACTCAGGTCTGGCCTGGCTGGCTGAGGAGCTGAGTCAGGGAGCACGGAGCCTCCAAGGGCCGCTGGCTCCCAGCCAGAGCCCCTCAGCACCAGGGACCGACCTCCCACGCTGCCCTGGGCCTGCTGGCCACGAGAGCTGCTCCCGCTGGGCTGACCCCGCGTTCCTCGGCGCTCTCGATGGGGAGCAGACTCCTGCAGAGTCTGGGGAGGTGAAGGGTCACTCCTGGTTGTCACAGTGATGGAGGAGCACTGCCTACTAATATCACCAAAAGTCCCGAAATGGACAAGACAGCCAGGCCCACAGAGCAGGAGCACACCCCATGTGCCAACAGCGCCCACTGGGGGGCACCAGGTGAGCCCCGCCCCTCTCTGAGCGCCCTCGCAGGGAAGCGTCCTGGAGCCCTCAGCACCTGATCGAGACACCCACACACATGCCCAGGCCCCCTAAAACCCAGCCTGAGCGCCCCGCGGTCAGTCTCTGCTGCAGGAGCCCCTGCGGACACCAAGGTCTGCTGGTAGACACTCACTCAGGCTGTGAGATCTCGGTATTGCGTTCACGGGGCCCAGAAACACGAGGCCTCCGCCTCCCGAACAAGCACCATGACCGTGAACTTGACAGCTTGGGGACCACAGAAACCTAGGACCTGAGTGTCCCCGGACTTCCAATGTGAACGGTGAGCCTTAGACCAGTGCTCTCAACCTCTCTACTGCCGCAGCCCTTTAATCCAGCTCCTCGTGTTGTGGTGACCCCCGACCATAACATTATTTTCGTTGCTACTTCATAACTCTGACGTTGCTGCTGTTATGAATCGTAATGTAAGTATCTGTGTTTTCCAATGGTCTTAGGCGACCCTGCTAGAGGATCTCAACCTGTGGGTAGCAAAATGTTATGGTTGGGGGGTCACCACAGCATGAGGAGCTGGGTTAAAGGGCCGTGGCAGTAGAGAGGTTGAGAACCGCTGCCTTAGACTCAGCCATGGAAGCCTGGAACCTGAGCGCCCCAGACCTGGACGCCACTCAGGCTGCTCCAAGCTGGTGCCGTCCGCTCCCGGGCCCAGAAGGCGGCTCAGCGGTTAGGGGGCCGCTTCAACCCGAGACCCCCATCCCTCGCACCGGCCTCGGCTGCCTCTGGCTGTGGGCCCTGGGGAGCCCGAAGGTGCATGAGCAGGTCCCCGGGCTGGGCTGTCCTCTAAAGAGGGGCCCACAGCTCTGCCCTCCACCCCCTCCAGCAGAGACCCTCTGGTCTCCCAGGTCTGGGGCGGGAGGGTGGGGCCCGGCCTCCATGCCTGACTCCTGCCCCCAGGCCCTCCACTGAGCTCTCTCCTCACCAACCAGGCCCAGCGGCTCAGACCGCCCAGGGACCATCATCACCCCAACACCCGACTCGGCAGGGAGGCCAGCAGACGTGGGCTCAGCATGTGCCTCCCCCAGCCTTTCTGGGGTGAGCCTCATCACCCCCGCCTGCACCCCCGCATCCCAGGCGTCTAAGACCGGGCTCAGGCCCTATGCTGTGTGGCCTCAAGCACCAGTAAGGACTCGGTCCTGCTGGGTGGACCCCGAACACCATAAGGCCACCGAGTCTGGGTCCCAAAGCCGCCTCCTCAGCAGTCCCTAGCTGCAGGCTCACCTCTACAACCCGTCCCATGTCATAGCTCAGTGGTCCTTCTGAAACACAGGTCTCCGCACACCGCATCCCTGCCTAACCTTCGCCCAAAGGACACAGGCCGGCTCTCATCAGCCCGTGAAGTCTACAACGTCTCCCACTACCCGCCAGCCTCATCTCGCCACACTGCCCCTCACCCACCCACTCCAGCCCTCCTCTCCGGGCCTCTGCTCCTGCCATTCCCCTGCCCCACTGCCCTCCCCACCGGACACCACTCATTCCTGGAGACTCAGCTCAGACACTGCCGATGTGTGCCCAGCGACCCCCCGAATTCGCTGGGGTCCAGCAGCAAACATGACAAGCTCAGTCCGTGTCCTGGTTACGAGGTGGCAGCCCCCGGAGGAGGCCAATGTTAGATTCAGGTGGTGACAACAGACTGAGTGGCTGAGGGGAAATCACAGCGGGCTGCCCTGAGAAGGCGACACGAGCTGTGATTTGAAGGATGCAGCAAAGGACTTGCCCGGGTGAAGGGAGAAGGGAAGATCATTTCCGGCGAAGGGAAGAGCGGTGGGATGGGCCTGAGGCCTAGCAGAGCACAGGGGAGGCGGCGTGAAGAGGCTGGGTGAGGGGCACACCGGGTCTGGGGGGCTGGGGCAGGACTTGGCTGAGGGCAGAGGGAAATGGTTTCGGGTCTTAAGCAGGGGGGTGACATGAGCAGACTAGAGGCAACAGTGAAGGCAGGCAGATTTGTGAGGGGCTGCTTGCCGCTGCCTCGGGCCCCAAACAGATGCCTGACCAGGAGAGTGGGGGGGGGGGGGGAGAGGGCTCGGTCCCTTCTAAAATGCACATCAGTGACCCTTGGGCCCTCAGTGGTGGGATCAGCTGCCTGGGGCCCATGCCCAGGGGTCCCCGTCTCAGCTCTCATCACCCCCGTGGGCATCATCCTCCAAATGGTTCAGCCACTGGGGGCTGGGCCACGGGCCAGGGTCTCACTTAACTCCGTCCCCAGTTCCAGCGCGGAGCTGGAGTTCACACCTGAGGGTTCACATCTGAGAGTTCACACCCGAAGATTCACACCTGAGGGCTCACACCTGAGGACTCCGGGGCCAGCTGGCCACTGGCAGTCGGCAGCTTCTAGAACGTTCACATCAGCAGGTCCTCATCAGCCCAACCTCCGTGCCTGACGCCTCCCCCCAGATCCCCCACTGAGCTCTCTCCCCACCAACCAGGCCCAGCGGCCTCAGGCCTCCCAGCCGCGGCCAGCAGGCTCCTCGGGGAAGGGGGCACCCAGGCCGGGCCCCACACACCCAGGCCACTCGAAGGATATGGGTTACACACCATCTTGATGCACCAGTTCCGGGGGCTGGTGGTCTGACGCAGGCAGAAGAAGGCCACGGGCGCCAGGTCCGGGTGGGGGACATCAGCGCTGGCTCCCTCCTGGGGCTCCTCCAGGCCCGGAGGGGAGGGAGGGGGGCTCCCGGGCCCCGGCTGCTCCGTGGCTCCCGGCTCGGGGGCCAGGGCCACAGCGGAAGAGGCGGGCGGCGAGCAGCTCTCGGCCATGTCGGCGCTGAGCAGGGAGCCTGGGGGAGAAAAAGAAGTGACACATGGCGGGGGGAGGCCCGGGACACGCTCCCCAACCAGCTCCCCCAGCCCCAGGCTGCAGGCCCCACACCTCGCCCCCTGGGCCCTCCGTCCTTTCCTAGCCCCTGGCCATGAGAGGGGAAAGGACTGCGGGCCCAGATGCCTCCGAGATGGAATCCACTTCCAGGCTGGGTGGTCCCAGGGCAAGGCTGGCCAACCGCAGTTTGAGGAGGTGAAGAGTGAGGAGAGTAAAGCCTTAGATTGTGCCCTAGGTGGTGTGGCTCAGTGGATAGAGCATTGGCCTGTGGACCAAAGGGTCGCAGGTTCGATTCCAGTCAAGGGCGGGTACCTCAGTTGTAGGCTCCTCCCCGGCCCGGCCCAGGCTCATGCAGGAGGCAACCAATCGGTGTGTTTCTCTCACATCGATATCACTCTCTGTCTTCCCTTCTCTCTTACACTCTCTCTAAAAAATCAATGGGAAAATATCCTCAGGTGAGGATTAAAAATAATAAATTTTTTAAAAAAACTTAGATTGTAGTTGTCATATTAGTTGTGTGCATTTTTTGAGTCTGGAGTTGTGTATTCATTGTATCATCAAACGTAAGAAAAATTCTCAATAAAAAGGGGAGAGTTACTATTCAGACAGACATTACTGCCAGGATAACACGTGTTACGAAGGAGAAGTTGGGGTGCTGTGGGACCAGAAACTGGGGGACCTGGGCAAGCAGAGAGGAACTGAGGGCAGGCTCCCTGAGGAGGGACCCACCACCACTGCCTCACAGAGCCGAGAGAACCTTATGCACCGACCTCTGGTTTACAGGTGGGGAAACTGAGGCCCAGAGAAGGGACAGGACAGACACACAGCCAGGTAACAGCAGAGACAGACTCCCTCGGGGCCAGCTTCCAGGTGTCTGACCTGTGCAGCCCATGAGCCCGGGGCCCGTGCTTGCTCTAATGCTCTGCTATCCCCAGCCTGAAACGTAATGACGTTTGACGCAGGCCCTGCCGATCAGATAGCCGGTCCTGACTCCACCTCCAGGGTGCTTGTCTTGTCCTGGTCTTGTCTGAAGCTCACAACAGCCCCAGCAGGGTTATTGTGCCCATTTAGCAGACAGAGAAGCTGAGGCCCAGAGAAGGGAGTGCCGTGCCAAGTCCACACCCAGGGGGCATGGGCAGAGGCCAGATTCCCCGCCCCAGCCCAGCAGATGCAGTGATGGCTGACGGTGCTTCAAGAGGCTACTAATCCCCGAGTCCTTATCCCCGGGGCTCCCCTAAACCCCAGAACCCGGACAGTGCCAGGCTGGGCCGTGGGAGCTGGAGAGGAGGCCCGAATGCTTTGCGCCCGCCCAGCTGCCACCCGTGGCCGCGGAGCTGTCTGCTGAGCTGATGCATTTGGACGTGCCCCTGGCTCTCAGGGACAACGGGCGGGAGCTGGCACCGCCTGTCACTTCGCCCGGCTGGTCAGGGAGGCCGTTTCCTCTCGGGCTTCAGGCTTCGCTCTCGGTTCCAGAAAAACAACCACAGGCCTTACATAAGCTCCCGAGCACCTCGGCCCGCCACGTGCCAACCCCTGGGCTGAGAACTTCCTCCCCGGGGCGGCTCCCGGTCTGCCCACTCTGTGCCAGCCCGGGAGCCCACAGGTCCCTCACGCCAGCCAAACGGCACCTCCTCGGGGCCCGGAGCACTGGCCGCCTCCTCCGGGCCTCTCCCCGGAGCGCTCGCTCCGTCAATCCCACGCCCTGTTCTCCCAGGCCCTGGAGATCCCTTCGTTCACTTGTCCAACGATATTTCCTGAGCACCTACTATGTGCAGGCGCCGTGCGGGCTCTGGGGCTCTGCCGGTGAGTGAGCCGGACTTGGCACCAGCCCTCATTCACCGCGCCAACACGCCCGCCAGGGGAAAGACGCGAGTCAATTAATCTCTCTCCCTGGGTTTCCACAGCTCTTATCACCACCGCGCATAGCGTCTTCTTTATGGATTTCCATCTTGATGATTGAGCGTCCGTCTCCTCGCCTGAGAGAAGGCTGTAAGGAAGCAGGGCCGGTGGTCTGTTTTGTTCACTGCTGTACGCCCCCCGTGCCTGGAACACACTAGGTGCTCAAGAAATACGTGTTGACTAAAGTAATAAAAAGTGCTGGGGAATAAACAAACAAGAGAGAAAGGTGGAAGTGGGGGAAAACCACCTCGTCCTCTCTAAAGAAAGAGACATTTAAGATAAAAACAGGAATCAGACGCCTCGCCGGTGTGGCTCAGTGGTTGAGCGCCAACCCACGACTCCTCATCAGAGCACATCCCTGGGTCACATTACAGGCTCGATCCCCAACAGGGGGGCGTGCAGGAGGCAGCCGATCCATGAGTATCCCTCATCACTGATGTTTCTATCTCTCTCTCCCTCTCCCTTCCTCTCTCTGAAATCAATAAAAACATATTTAATACAAAACAAGGATCATAAGGCATCATCTTGGGGATCTGTGGGAAGATGCTCCAAGTAGAAGGAATCGCATATGCAAAGTCTGGGGAGCCAGAGTGACCTCCGTGCAAGGAACAGAAATGAGTGCAGCAGGAAGCCATGGGAGGGGTTATGTAAGGAGGGGTGTGCTGAGGTCTGTGCCTGTAGGCCTCCCCTCTGAGGGTGGGAGGGAGGTGGGCGGAGGGGCAGGGCTGGAGCAGGGAGGGCCACAGGAGGCTGGGGAAATGGGCTGGCCGAGGCTGGGATGTGGTGGAGGTGAGAAGGGAGGGAATACACTGTAGAGGCCAGAGAAGCCAGGCTTCCTATTGGCCCAAGGCCCCCGCACCTAGTATGGCCAAACCCTTCTGCACCCACACAGGGGGAAAGCTGCCCTGGCCTCGGAGGTCACGTGTGATCACCCCCTCTCCAACTCCCTGTTTAGCTGTCACCATGGGTTCTTGTCCTTTATCTCTCATCTCTCACTGTGGGGCTGCTCCTGACCACGACTGCCAAGGTCACCCCCAGCACACACCCTCCTCCCCCCTCTGGCCTGTTCCTCAGTGACCACCCTCCTCCCCCTCTGCCCTGTTCCCCAATGACCACCCTCCTCCCCGCTCTGCCCTGTTCCCCAGTGACCACCCTCCTCCACCTTCTGACCTGTTCCCCAATGACCACTCTCCTCCACCCTCTGACCTGTTCCCCAGAGACCACCCTCCTCCACCCTCTGCCCTGTTCCCCAGTGACCACCCTCCTCCCCGCTCTGCCCTGCTCCCCAATGACCACCCTCCTCCACCTTCTGACCTGTTCCCCAATGACCACTCTCCTCCACCCTCTGACCTGTTCCCCAGTGACCACCCTCCTCCCCCTCTGCCCTGTTCCCCAATGACCACCCTCCTCCCCCCTCTGCCCTGCTCCCCAATGACCACCCTTCTCCCCCCTCTGCCCTGCTCCCCAATGACCACCCTCCTCCACCTTCTGACCTGTTCCCCAATGACCACCCTCCTCCACCCTCTGACCTGTTCCCCAGAGACCACCTCCTGCACCCTCTGACCTGTTCCCCAGAGACCACCTCCTCCACCCTCTGACCTGTTCCCCAGAGACCACCCTCCTCCACCCTCTGACCTGTTCCCCAGAGACCACCCTCCTCCACCCTCTGACCTGTTTCCCAGGGATCACCTCCTCCACCCTCTGACCTGTTCCCCAGGGACCACCCTGTTCCCAACTCCCTTTGCCCTGTGCCTATAGCCAAGCGCCTGTCCCCAGCTGCCCGGGTGCCTATGGCTGGAAGCTTTTGGGGGCTGGCAGCTGGGCCCACCTGGGCACCATCCTGTGGGCAGATGGAGCCTCAGAGTGGAGTGGACCTGCACTAAGTGGCAGCACTAGAAGGTTCAAACTAAGGTCCATCTGGCCTCAGGGTCACAGCCGCCTCCACACGCAGTGTCCTTCCTCTGGAGGCTCCGGGGAGGGCCACCAGGCAGTGGTGTGGTAACTGGGCTGGCGCCATCAGCAGGGGCTGAGCAGAGCAGCACCCACTGTGTCTGGGGCATACACCCACCCCTGACTCCATCAGCCTCTTGGAGTCTCAGCTGTCCTCTCGGTAAAGCTCAGCTCCCTTCCTGCTGGCCCCATGGGCCCCTGTGAATACAAGATGTGGATGGGAAGGCTCTCTAGGACCCATGAAGGTGGAGGTCCCAGCATGCATGGAGTCAGCTAAGCCACCCCCAGGGGCTACCACCCCATCCCCTCTGCCATCACTACCATCTCTACCACCATCATCACCACCACAATCACCACCACCATCACTACCATCACCATCACCACCACTATTACCATCATCTGCATTACAACTATCACCATCACCAAGATCATCTCCATCACCAAACCTCCATTGAGACCATCACCATCACATACATCAACACCACACCACCACCATCACCTCCATCACCATCACCACTATCACCATTATCACCATCACAATCACCACCATCACCACCATCACCATTACCACCATCACAATCACCACCATCACCACCATCACAATCACCTCCATCACCATCACCACCATCATCATCACCACCATCATCATCACCACCACCATCACCACCATCATTACCACCATCACAATCACTACCATCACCACCACCATTTTTATCACCATCACCACTGTCACCACCACTATTACCATCACCTCCATTACCACTATTATCATCAACACCACTATTATCTCCATCACCATCACTTCCATCAACACCATCACCATCACCTCTATCACCACCACTATTACCATCACCTCCATTACCACTATCATCATCACCACCATTATCTCCAGCACCAGCACCACCATAATCTCCATCACCATCACCTCCATCAACACCATCACCATCATGTCCATCAACACCATCACCATCACCTCCATCACCATCACTACTATCATCACCATCACCACCATCACCACCACTATCATCACCATCACCTCTATCACCACCATCACCATCATTTGCATTATCATCATCTCCATCACCTCCATCACCATTATCATGACCACCATCA